GAGTCCTATCAGGCCAACATAACTGTTTACCTTCATAAGACAACATCACAAGAGAGAGATAATGGGCCTCAGGGAGAATTGGGCTTCCTTATAAGATTCAAAATGTGAAGCTAGTTTAAAAACAAAAAAAAAATTCAAACGGTAGGCCAATCAAAACAAAGCACTGTCCCCACTGCTCCCCTGACAATGTTCCGCGTGTCACTTTAATATTGGTTCGTACTTTTCCAGACCAAAAGGACTTTCTTTTTAACAATTATAATTTTTGAGAAAAAAAAAAAAGAAAAAAAAATTAAGAACTCTTAAATATTGACCGAGTAGATAGTAAGTAGTACCATTTTCACGTGTAGACCAAAAGGACTTTGCTCCCTGCCAAGTCCAAAAAATGATTATCTAACTGTTTGTTAGTTTAAGTGAGAGATATTTAATTTTTTTTAAATAAAATATTGAGTTAAAATTTTATAAATAAAAAAATAAGTATTAAAATTTTTTTTTATGAAATTCAAATGATTCAATTGTAAATAAATTAATTCGAAACCTAAAAAATTATCGAATGTTGGGAAATCAATAAAAAGAAATCCAAAAAAATGATTCCAATTTCAAACATGTCAGCTCTCAATAAATACTCTCTTTTCCCTCCTTGTCCTTTGGTTTCTGAGTCATGAAATCATAAAAAATTACTCCTTTCCTTTTCACAATTTCACTTGCCGACCGTTACTTGCTTCTCTTCCACTCTTGCACCTTTTTCTTTTGCTTTCTCATCATCTCTTCTCCACACCACATACTCTCTCATTCATACTCCCGACTCCAAACACAAGACTCAACAGTGGAAGAAAAAGTGAGTTCTCTTCTCTTCTTATGGGTCTTTAATTCTTCTATGTTTCGGAAGTTCTTTGTATCTTAGCAATCTTGATGCAATTTTAACATGAATCTATTGTTCATTTTTATGTTAATGCAAGTGTACCCAAAGGTGAAGGTGAGACTGGAACAAGATAAAGATGATAGTGGTTCAGTTCTGTCTTTTGCGCTTGTAGAGTCTTTCTCTAGCCAAGGTAATACCAGGTGCCAGCTGCTACTATATATTTCACTAGGATATATCATTTAGTACCTCCACCAATTATCCATCCCATGTAATGTATGGCCTTATTGTTTTTCCTATCTTTTCTGTACAGAGAAGGAAAATCAATGGGATTCTGATTCACCACCTATAGTTGCCAGAGTCACCAAGGCTAATTCAATTTCAGCTTCCAAAGGTTAATTATTTCTCTTCTACTTCTTAAATGTTGTTGTATCTATTTTTTTTTAAATTTTCGAGTAAAGGGTTCTTGACATGGTATTGTGATTCCTATGACTTAACTACTCCACACTGAATTGGTGGACATGTTAAAATTAAACTCACATTATAGTTAGACATATATGTAGTTCTTCTACATATAAATGCTCTTAACATGATTATAAACAGAAGGGTATGTCATTAGTCTTGATTATGAAATGCATTTTGACAGTGGTGAATAACCAGAGGAACAATGGTGAGGAGAGAAAGTTAAGTGGGAGAGCAGCTTCAGTTCCGCGCCCTCGTGCAGTTTTGTCTAGTCCTGGTAATCTGAATTTCACTCGTTTTACCTGTTTCTTCTGATCTTTGATTGTTTGTGATGAATTGTGATGGATCTTCCACCTTCATCGCAGATAATGATGGAATGATTGGGAACAGAAACAGGTTGAATGATGGAGGATCTGTCTTAGCTCCCAAGAGGCTTCAATTTCATGATGTGCAGAAAATGCCAGTCTGTATTAAGACTAACAATTGCAGCTTTAAGAAAAGGAATTCTTCTGAATTTGAAATCCGAAAGCACAAATCATCTCTTGTTGTGAAAGTCAACAAAGAGAAGAACAGTTAGTTTAGTTGGTTTCTTTTACTGATCTTTGAAGTACTACATGGGGAAATGGAATCCTTTGCTCCTAATGAATGTTTGTTAATTTGTTCACGTAATATCTATTTTCTGATATTTATTCAAAAACTGAACTCCAGTTTCTCGTAGCAGGTTCAGGACCCTGCCAAATTTATTGGGAGAACTGGATTACTTTTATTAGAGAGCCAATACATGAGTCAACTCAAACCACAACTACAAAGCATATCTCTGGCATCTATTGAAAACAAAAACACCATGCCTACATCTGATGATTATTCAAGCCAGTAATAACCCTGATGTTGGATCCTTAATTTATTCGAATATAACCCCTGGTACTCACCATCTTAACTTTGCAGGGAAGTACTGCAAAAGATAGAATAGTTTAGCTACAGTTATTAAAGAGTGAGAAGGATAATGCATAATAGTTGACGAGTTGAAGCGTGCTAACCTTTTCAATGAGGGAGAGATAGTATGGCTTGACTTCTTCAACATTGATCCGCACCTTGCTCTTGCTGTATAGGTCATACTTGCTGCAGGAGTGGAAAGTATGAGAATGAGGTTAACTACAGAAGAAGAAACTGGACAAGCATGCTGTATCAATGCATTTAGCAACTGAACCAAAGAGTAATCGTTACTTGAATATATGGAGCCACTTCAGATTCTCGGCATCCTCCTCATTCATTAGGTGTTTATATGCTCCTGATCTATGTAATGCTGAAAGAAAAAGATATTCAAGTTAATATCAGTGGAATCAAATGTTGTTCATCTTTACTTAATTGGTAAGAGTCGTATTTCTCCTTACCATAGAATGAGTGGTATCTGATAATGAAAAGACCTGCAGATGGAAGGGTAGTCTTGTTCTCTTTGGCCACCTAGATATGAAGACACCAACATTAATTTCTGCCCTTGCTTTTTCTGCATATTTGAAATAGCTAGTATGGAATTGCATGGATTACCAGATACATGTAGTCGTCGTGCCCAAAAGACATCATCACATTGTTGAGCCCACATCCTTCTGAGTAAACTCCATATTTAGTATTGTAAGCAGGATTGTTATAGTCAGGGTTTTCCTTGAAGTACTATTAAAAGAACACCAAAAGGTCAGATATTATAAGACGTTAGCTCAAAATTTCAATTTGATGAATTACTTGTGCACGTTGTAAGAAACAAGAACTACCTTGTGGTGAACAATTGATTCATCAAAAGCACACCCGACAGGATAAATATCGCCTATTAGTAAGAATCAGGATCATGAGTATCAATTGATAAATCAACAGATAACATGAAACTACATATGTCTTATATATTTTTGTATAATGCTATGCCTAGCAAATGTACCTACCTACAACAGCCCACTGAGGAAGCCCTCCAAAGTTAGGAAGAAGTAGGACTTTTCCAAGATCTACCACCCATAAGGGAAACCAAGTTAAACAATACTCTATCTTAACCTCAACTCTGTGCGCATTTAAGAATTATCACAGGTTAGAACAATACCATGAATGAGGCCAGTTAGTTGAAGCCAGTCCTCATTGGGATAGTCTTTTCTGATGGCCTCAGCCGTTTGCAATAAGTGCTCAATTTGAGTCTCATCCAAGTCAGGATCACTCTCATCAACAACATCATTAAGAAGTTCACAGCACTCCCATATGCTCATCTCCATCCTGTTCAGTATCCCATACTCTTCCCTCATCCTTTTCACCTGCAATTTTACCAATTCATGAGTTAATATACTCACCATGTAAGAGTAAGTCACTAAAAAAATGCTCATGGTGTAAAGTTGCTTACAAAGTCATATGTCTGGCTAATGTGATTGGACCTGTAGAAATTCTCCACAGCTTGCTGCCTCTCACTTTCCACAGCATAATCTCTGTTTGCGTATGCATTACAAGTCTATTGTAAATAAGGGAAACAAAAAAGACAAGCAAATAACCAGCTGCAATTCAGGGTGCCTGTAAGGCCCAACTGTTGGAAAACATTGCAAGTACAGGCCCATTTCTTAAATCCTAAGGTCCAGTATCAACATCGAAAGAGTATAATAAGATATAAGTTGAAACAATTTACTAATAATAATAGAAAAAATTATAATGGAAAAACTTTTCCCAGATCCAATGATGATTATAATGACAAGTAGTAGCTTTCTTAACATCAGCCTCATTTAAAAATGCTGGTTTTTTTTTTTTTTTCTTAATGTACATATATCTTTATAATGCCATCTGCTTCATAGGGCAGATGGGTAGGGAAGCTTATGATTAAAATTTTCTTAAGTTCTACTGTCCGAGTCATCAGGGGTTCATAAATGATATTAAAATTATTATAAAAATTTTGGTTTTCCCCCTCATTGGGAAAGAAAGCGAATAGATTTCAGATCTGGGGAGGCACTGGCATAACAGCATGTCTATATGTTAATAAATTTCTCCTTATATTATCCGAATGGAGGGACTAGATCTGTGCATCCAGCTGCCATTTTCATATATATATATATATATAGGGAGGCACTGGCATAACAGCATGTCTATATGTTAATAAATTTCTCCTTATATTATCCGAATGGAGGGACTAGATCTGTGCATCCAGCTGCCATTTTCATATATATATATATATATATATGTATATATGTATATATTTGTGTTTTTATTTACCAAAACAGGATGAGTAAGCAAAAGAGCTACCTAAAGGTATGACCAAATGAGTTGGTCTGTGGCACCACGAATCCACCATCCAACACTAATCCTTTCTCATCAATAGGAACCATCTTTTCCTCTGCTTCATCGTTGAAGACATGGTGAGCAGCTCCATATTTTTCAAGCAAGTCGAAAGCATTGTTTTTCGCAATCTCTTCAAACTGCGAGAAGATACAAGCAGTTTTCAATACATTATGCTTATGAATAATTAACATAATATTGCCGGGGCATGTGAATTAATTTCTTCACCTGATGAATTGTGGAAAAAGGGTTCATCAAGTAGCATATATATAAATTTGCGAAACCAACAACCATTCAAGGGCCAAATAGAATTGAAGGTGAAAGAGCTACCTGAAGTTCTTGAGGAGGAAGAAGACCACTCAAGTAGTAGGCATCTTTCTGTGTCTCTGTGAAGGCATGCCCTTTGTTGTGGCGTGGATCTTGGAACAAAGAATACCCACTGCATCACAAGCGGCAAACAATCTTCCTTTGAAGCTTACTACGAAAGAAACACTTGATTCGATTATGAAAACCATTGTTTTCAAAACCAAACCAAAAGGTCAAATTATTTGTACTTTTGGTTCATGATTTTAGTAATTGAATTAATTTAATCAGTTAAAAAATTAATTTAATTGAATTTTAAAGATATATATTAAATATAATATAATAAAATTCATTTTAAAAAGTTAGAAGCAACTTTGGTGGTTGAGAACCATTATGTATTCATATAAAACTAGAGTTCAAATTTTAATTGAATTAATTTAATCAGTTAAAAAATTAATTTAATTGAATTTTAAAGATATACATTAAATATAATATAATATAATTCATTTTAAAAAGTTAGAAGCAACTTTGGTGGTTGAGAACCATTATGTATTCATATAAAACTAGAGTTCAAATTTTAAATGTGTTAAATTTATTTATTTATATAATTTTATTGTAATAAATATATCTCAAAATAATAAAAATCAATAAACTTGATTTAGATTAGGAGACAAAAGTTACTCTAAACATACAAGAGAGCAAGTGTTTAAATTTCATAAAAATTACTTCGAGTTTTTCCTTTAGTCTTTATGGTATTCTTTAAAATATAGACTTTATAACTCATTTTAAAGGGCTTCGTTTGTTGAAATCTCATGAGGTCTTGTGTTTGAAACCTCGCGGAAGCAACAAATTAAGCTTGCAATTTTTGTCTAAATAGTTAGTTGATCGGTTGGATGCTTATTGGTTCTTATCGGTTTAGATGGTTTAAGTAATTTTAAATAATTTAACCCCTTAAACGATTTTAAGTACTAACTCGACTCATTTCTATTATCGATACTAGTTTGACTAGTTTAACGGATTGATTTAAAGCCTGTTTGGTGTGCCTTGTGAGAGCTTTTGTTTTTTGAGTACTATTATGAATGATAAATTTAAATTTTTATTGGAGAAAAAATAAAGTTTCAACTTTTATAAAGTTAAAAAAGTAAATAAAAAGTAAATAAAAATGAAGTTTATGAAAAATTTAAATTTGAAACTTTTAAATTTTTGTTAAAAAAATATTTAAAAATATAAAATTTTTTTTAAAAATTTTAAATGTATGAAATATAAATAATGTCCTAAAACTGAAGTTATTAGGAGTTGATCCATCCAACCCTTAGTCTAATTTTCAAAACAGTAATGAGAACCTTACATGGACCACTGTTCATTGACTCTATATAGGACCAAAAAAATATAATGCAAGGATTTCATTAAACTAAAATAGAAACCCAGAATCTAACCTAGCAACGGAGATGGCCCAAGTGGTGACAAGGGGTTCCTCGGTGGCGGCGGCGTCGTCTTCGTAGATGTCGTGGACCTCAGCAGAGACGGTGGGTTTAGAGTCCGCGTGCAGGACAGAGGCAGCATTTTCCCTGGATTCCTTCAATGTGGTCTCTGTAATGACGCTGTCATTGTCTCTGTCAGGGCCCGAAGCTATTACTCTAACTGAAGTTGGGGGCTGTCTCTTCTGCCTGTAAGTAATGGGACTGTACGACCCGTATATGCCAACATTGTTCTGTTTCAAAATCCAGAAAAAAGAAGATCAATTGAATTCTTTCTTTCTTTGTTAATTTCAGCTGAAAGAGTTCAAATAAATTACATATAGAGAAAATTGATACAATGGATATTTATTTGTCAAATAACTCACATATCCAGATAATTTCATTGATACTATAGATGTTACTAATTTGGATAATTTTGACATGGGTACTCACGTAGAAATAATCGCTTTTTTAAATATAATTTTTAGGTATTATTAAATATATATGTGTTTAAATATGTAGATGTATATAATATATGATAAAATCTTAATTGAAAAAAATAATTATTAAATGACAAGTAAATTTGTAAAAAAAAATTACATAAAAAATTATTTCTAATTATTTTCTTTTTGACCTAGCCAAACAGAAAAGATTGAAACATCGTATATTAATTTGGATAATTTTAATTAATTTTGACGTAGCTAAACAAAAAAAAATTCAGAAATTCACATTAAAAAAATCCATAAATTTCCAATGAATTAAATTACTGTACAGTAAAAGAGTTAGGATAAATTACATGACTTACTTCAGATAATAATTACTGTATTTGTAAAATTTGTATTTTGACAAATCAACTTAAATTTAAAATTTTAATTATTTGTATAGATGATGCACAATAAATTTAAGGCAATCTTATATGCAACCATATGCAAACAAAAATTTACCAAAAAAAAAAAATGCAAACAAAAAATTTATACTTTTTATTAACCACAATGTTTAACGATTTAAAATTTTATATTATTATGAAATAGTTAAAAATATTTAATTAATTTAAATTTAGTGTGCATGATTTAAATAAATATAATATTAAATTGGTTTAAAAAAATAAAAATTTTACAAATAAATTTATTGACTACCGTGAGGTGATTCTCACTCAAAATTAAAAAAAAAAAAATAGAGAAACCATAAAAATTTCCTGTTTAAGAGCGTAAACGAGCTAGAAATGAGAACAGTAAGATTAAAAAAAAGGAAGAAGAAAAATTGAAAGAATCCCCAGATTCGGAAGCCTGTTTAATTAGAAATATCCGTAAGAAAAGCTACCTTCCAGATAGAAAATCCTGCTTCTCTGAAGTTTAAACATATAGATAACAGACATAAACAGAAGAGAGAAAAGAACTAAATTCACAGAAGTTTGGTAAAGTTTGTGGCTTTCTAATCAAATTGGTGATTTTGTGCTTGCAATTGTTAAAAGACAAATGAGGTGGTTCTACAATACCAGAAAACAGCATCTGCTCAACGAGAACATGGCGGGAGAAGAGCGCAGATGCAAAGAGTCTTCCTTCTCCTGGTTCTTTGTAACCAACCTTCTCTCCAAATCAAGAAAGAGGAAAGATAAGTGGAGGAGAAGAGAAATAGAGTGTCTTTGGAGAGTTACGAATAATATAAGCAATTCTCTCTTCTCTCATTATCTTATTTCGTATATGAATGCCGGGCAAACCAAAACTGGAAGAGCTAGAAGGGGTATGGACACCTACCACCTGCGTATGTACATGGCCTTTACTTTCTATCTTCTACCAAATGACATGTGGGTAACTGACTCTGTCGTACAGCAAGTGCCAATCCGTGGGTCCAACATGCTGAGGTGTTCAGAAATATATTGATTAGTATATATTTTAATTTAAGATCCTACTCGAATCCACCATAATAAGCTCGAACCGAGCTCAAGCTTTGTTGAACTCAGAAAAGTGAAGCTTAGGCTTGGCTCGTTTTGAAGAAAAGTGGACTGAAGTGTGGCTCGTTTACCAAATTAATAAGTTGAAGTTGGATCGAGTAGCTCCCGAGCTACTAGCTTACAGTTTTTTAATTTTTTAATCTAAATTAATGAGCTACTCGTGAGTAGCTTACGAGCCTAAAATATATGCTTAAATATGAACTCGATTGTTTATAGAGGTTGAAAGTGAATTCAAACACAACTTATATAAAAACAATCCAAATTTGAACTAAATTTAAATTAAACAGCTCACAAATAACTACTAACTGTTCAGTTCATTTCCAGCTCTAGCTAAGTGGTTGGGTAAGAATGTAATGTCATTATATGAGTAAATTTTTTTAGAAAAAGAAAAAGAAAAAAACCAAAAACTAGTATAAATTTGGGAATGGGGTCTTGAAATCTTCAACTCTGCACCTAAGACTGTGAGATGCACCCTTTTTAAGGTTTGTAGCCAATTAACTTTTTAGGACAGGTGCATCATTGTATGTAGATCATATAGTTAGGACAAACAAACAAACTCACTTAACCGTAGGCCAAGATATGTCATGGATTGATCCAAAAAGAGATTTGCTCCTTACTTTAAAACGGCAATTTCCCGAGAAAGCCATGTGGATTTCATTTTCACGGAAAGAGAAAAAAAGGGTGGTGTTATGGTTGTAGTCTTAATTATTGTTAAGATGTGAATACAATTATTTAGATTATAGTTATAATCATTGTAAATATTTTATATTTTAAAATATTCTCTTTGTATATTTTATATCTTAAAATATTTTTTTTATAAATACCTATATATAGACCATTGTACATATAGTATTATTAAAAAAAAAACAATGAACTTTTCTTCAAATATTTCTTCTCTTTTCTTATTTCTAACATAGTATCAAAGCGATAAGCTCTTGGTTGTTTTCTCTTATCATTGTCGTTTGGTTTTTTGGAGTTTGATTTCCAATTCCATTCCAGATTTGAAACTTTGTTGTTGGGATCTCTTCTCCTGTATATTGGATTGTTTATCCTCGATTCTCAAGCTTTTTCTGAGGTATTTTGTTGGTTTGTTATTTTGATCTTAGCATCTATTTCTTCATATTTTTTAAAGTTCTTCAGTATTGTGAGTTTTACTGATTCTATGACAAGTTTTGAAAGAACTGTAACTCATCCTACTACTGCTATGGTTGCCAAAAAAGTGATAAACCAACCTAATGTCAACCTTGAATCCCTAAAACAAGTGATATCAAATCTTTTTAATGCTCATATTGCTTTATTTACTGCTCCAAGTACCAAACCTTGGTATTTTGATTCTAGTTGTTGTAACCATATGTCTTCAATTACTACTCATTTTTCTTCAATGTCACCAAATAATTCATTTCCTAATATTTATTCTGCTGATGGTACCCCCTATGAATGTTAGTCACATTGGCAATATTTCTACAAAGTCATTGACTTTACCAAATATCTTCTTAGTTCCAAAACTTAGTTATAATCTTCTATCTATCGGTCAATTATGTGATTTTGGTCTTAAAGTAACATTTTCTGCTTATGGTTGTCGTGTGCAGGACCTACGGATAGGACAACTTCTTGGAACTGGTCACAAGGTGGGGTGTCTGTTTGAGCTCAACTATCTACATATTCCTAATAATAAAATTGATACACCATCATTTCCAAACGATCGATTCATCTAAACCTTGCTTTGTGCTGTTGAATCAGAGTCTTTACAAATTCCATACCAACAAATTTGCAAGCCTGTGTTGCTACTAATGTTTTGACTCTCCATTTGTGGCAGTCACGGCTCGAACATACCTCAGTTGGTAAACTTCGTCCACTTATCTCTTGGGGTTTATTAGGATTAGTTTCGAATAAATCCTTGCATTGTGTGTCATGTCAATCTGCAAAGCAACCAGCTTTATCTTTTTCAAGTAATCATTCTCATTATACTATTCCTTTTGATCTTGTGCATTTTGATGTTTGAGGTCCATCTCCTACACCCACCATGGGGAGTTCCAGGTACTTTGTGTTATTTATTGATGATCATACTGGTTTTACCTGGATATATCTTATGAAAAATCGCTCTGAATTACCACAAATTTATATTAATTTTGCTACCATGATAAAAACTCAATTCTCTAAAATTATCAAAGTTTTGAGAACTGACAATGCTACTGAATATCTTGATACTAAACTTCAATCCTTTTTGAGAAAACAAGGAACACTGATATAACAATCTTGTTCTTACACTTTTGAACAAAATGGGTGAACTGAACGCAAACACAGACACACCCTTGATTCTGTTCATGCTCTACTCATTTCATCCTTTTGTCTAGAGTGATTTTGGGGTGAAGTTGCTCTTACAGCTATTTATCCTATTAATCGCATTCCATCATCAGTCCTTAATAACCAATCTCCATACAAGCATTTACATGGTATTCTTCCTGCCTATAATCTCCTTAAGGTTTTTGGTTGTGCATGTTTTGTTCTTCTTTCACCTTATGAACATAACAAGTTAGAGCCTAGAGCTCGATTATGTTGTTTTTTCGATTATGGGATTACACAATGATATTGTTATTGGGATCCTGTGTCACAAAAACTCAGAGTTTCACGTCATGTTTTCTTTTGGGAACACACTATGTTCTCATCATTGTCAAACTTCAAAGTGTCATCCTCTCATCAACCTCCATTTTTTTTACTAATTCTTCTATTGAGCTATTTCTTAATGATTTTGATGCAGGTACATTTGATGAACTTTACAATGCCTCACCGTATGCTCCACCTAGTTCTAGAAAAGATGATCTGCCTGCTAGTAATGTATTAGAAATATTTGAGATATTACATGTAATTCTCTTTTTTTTCCGGAAACATTTAGTAATTTTTTTCCTCCATTAACCGGCTTTTGATCAACAAAATCAAAAAGTAAATCACTTTACAGATCAAAGCACTTTTTTTTTTTTTTTAATAAATGCCCGTCAGTTCTTGCTTGAATGAAAATATTTCTATTTCAAAATAACTATTATATTTTGAGTTTTTACAAATTAATAATAGTTCATAGATAATTTATATTTTTATCTTTTTAGTATCTTTAAAAAAAATAAAAATAAACGAAAATTCCTGTAATAAAATGGGAGTAAATAATTAAAATTAAATGATAATAATATAATTAAAGTATAAATTTTTTATAATTATAAAAAAATAATAAAAAAAACAATAATTATTTAAACGCAAAGAGACATAATTGTTGAGCCTTTTTATTTGGGTGATAATACATCTTAGTGGGCTCCAATGTCAACACCAGTGTCTATCGGGCCGCTGGTCCTAACATCGCTGGACTCTTAAATGAGATTTTGTCCGACGT